ATTTCTCACCAACGTATTGGCATAGTCTGTTTATTATGAAGCGGCCTGTAGGCTAGAGTTATCGGTGGAGGTGGTTTCTGACGGTGACACCCGAAGCAGTAAATAGGTAGTTCCTTTGCACACATCAAACCTTCAATATGTATGCAATATATGCTCCTGTCAGTGTACATAAATAAAGTGCGCTATACTGTTTTCTTTTAATGAAGCACCCTCTCGGAGTCGCAGATGGCATTCTTGGTCTTGAAAGAATTACACCATACTGGCATGGCTTAACTCCTACTAACACTTGATACAATGCTATAGGATATATAGTGGTAATAGTAAGAAAATAACTGTAAGCAGATTCGTGATGGATTTATGTGATTAAAGGGATCGTTGTTAAAAGCAAATCACTAAATAAAGACCCGGCTGTATGGTCGGCCGGCAGGAAAAAATCTTACAATTCACTGCTCTTATATTAAATTTTAGTTGGAAGTTCTTATATGCTCCCCCTCCCCCATAGGTAGTTGGAATAGGAAGGTCCATCACGTAATACGGGCGGTGTTTCTTTAGATTCCTGAAAGGGTAATATTTCCATATCCTAATCCTAATTCTGACGCTGCCTTCATCTTTAAACGTAATCCTAATCCTTTACTGTTTAGCGCAAAGCTACATGTTCCTGTTCCCGTGTCCAAACGTTAGCTAAAGGCCTTCTCGATTTAAATCGCAGACATCTGACACTGGTTGGACGATTATTTGTGAGATTAACCATTCCTATGATCACTGAGGTATTCTCTAGCAGAAGCGAAGGGTTGGGTTCCAGGTAGTAGTCAGGACGAGGTATACATGATCAACGGGCTTTTTTAGAATGAAGTTTCAGGCTCTCTTTTGAACCCCTCATCAATGAAAGTAACTGAGTCGGCGGGCACAAGGAGCGCAGTATTTATAGGACGTAGTTGGCAGACCAACCACACACCTACTTTATTTGGCTAATCGCTGGGAGGTCATATTTTATGCGTAATTGTCGGTCCGAACCCGGGACAATAATTGGAATCCCCCTGTCTTTGCCGGCAGTACTAATTGCCGTGATTTCACCACCATTTTCGAGTCTTGGTGCGGCAATTACTCGGTAATTTGGCCCGCTATCACTCGGATTGTTGGGAATCCGCGTTCCTACCCCCCAGCCCACACGGACCTGGCCCGAAAGCCAGTGCGCTTGTTAATTTAATACAGGTCAGGCGACCGTGACCCAAGCAGCTCACGCGGTTATAATCACTTGCGCGAACTTTGGACTCATCAAGTTTGACGGTGTGGCCGGGTCCCGTCGAATGACCTGTGAGCTGGATGTTAACGTCATTCCTCTCACCACTGCTGCGTCCTCGGCCATTTACGTTCGGAGTAGTCTCCCAGATTCTCTGACGTAGTTGGTTTGGCGGCAACTGCGCCAGATCCCGTAAACGACTCTAGACATTCCCTGACATCGCATTCGGCCTTCCGGCCGCATGATCTGGCACCTGATAGTTGCCTCTGGTCCGTGCGCAA